AAGTAGATCAAAGTGTTAGAAAGAAAACAAATCAAAGTATTAGAGAAAAGATAAATCAAATTAAAATGTATAATTGTAATTAAATATCTATTCCTTTTTTAATCTTAAAAAACTTGTATATATAAAGCTTTAATATTGAATATAATACATCAATAAAAAAATAATTCTTAATGCAAGTATAAAGTTTTAGGTTAAGTAATATTTAAATTCTTTTACAAACCTTATTCAGTTGTTATTGCTGATATAAAAGAGCTTAAAATGGTTCATGCTTCATAGTCAGCCACTACCCTCCAATCACCGACCATTGCAAGATCAGCCACCTCCACCACTAGCCAACCTTCATAGTTGGCCTTAGAACAAGTTGTTGTTCCCTACAATTGCTAGTCTCCAACAGTTATCCATAAAGACACATTGTCGTGCACAACTCTTTCTATCATCTTCATGACGATCAAACGTGAATGAGTTCATGTAGCCATGTGTTTCAGGTAAAATCTTTATATTATTATTTTTTTCTTTTTGATAATTAAATACTATCTAATTCTTAAATCAGTTTCATCTTTGGTAAATTTAATAAGGGCTATAGTCATAGTGATCCTCCTATTCAACTACTTCAACCATTTCCAAACACCGTATGTTATGACATTTCATTTTCAGGGCATTCGAGAATTTGATCATTTATGTATGATTTGATTTCTCACACACTGTCCCATAAGAGAGAAGGGGTAGCCAAGAGAAGTGAGTTTACAACAAAGCCCAATCAATGAAGAAACAACCCCATTAACCCAATGGTATAATAGTCCCTACAATTCGATTCAAGTAGAAGAAGGAATCAAGAAAGAAAAAGAAAGGGAATTTGGCCATAAATAAGAGATATTTCAAACCATAAAAGGGAAAGCTCCATGGGATTTTCTTTCCTAATCCCGTGGAAAATCTTCTCCTTTAAGGAGGATAGACTAAAGTGGAAAAAAAAATTTTAAACTGCAAAGTATCTTAAGAGAAAGGGAAGACTCTTTAAAGGACTAAATTTTGGGATCAAATAAAAGTTTAAATTGTTTTAAATCATCCATTAACTTCCTAAACAAAATAGATCAACTTATTTGCCATTTATTTGACTTACCATGTTTTGATTGAGTCGTAATCAATTTTTTTTTCTATTTGTGCTGAAAGTAAAGAAGTACTTTAAGATTATGTCTTTTTAATAGAAGCTAAGATGTTTAAAGGGATCTGAAACAAGTGGTAGATGTATACTTTCAACAATGTGAAACTGTTGATTCAAATTTTGAAGGGTTGTTGACAACGAGGAGTGCACTTTGCTTAATTATATTATGTGTTAGAAATTTTAAATAACTGAAATTGACTCAACTTTAATCACATTTTGTATAATCTTATATAGATATTGAAAGAGTAAATATTCGCCCACAAAAAGTTTATTTTATTGAATTGTTCAATTTTGGACGATTCAATATGGTAAAATAAAAAAGGCAAATAAAATAATTTGTTACAACATTATAACTCCAACAAAAATGACATTACGTTATCCATAAATAGAATTCATTTTATTGTTATGTGTTTCTAAGCAATGTTCATAATAAGATTAACAATTCCAATCAAGTATTGACCTAGAGGAATCCATTAATGTAAATAAAGATTCATTTTTTTTTTCATATGAATTGACCAAAATATGTGTAAATAGAACTATTAATATGATGTTTTGTTTCTTAGCTTATGTTTTATGTCTCTTTGCTCTTATATTAACATGCTTGGTTTATGATGTAAGAACGATGTGCATAGGCCACTTTAATATCAAAATTAGTTAGTTTTTATAATTATTTATTTTCTTTAAAAAAGATGATCCTTACATATTTAAAGAGATTTTGTAGATAATGGGATCAAACATCTTATTTCTTATTTCTTGGCATACATGAGTAGATTATGAAGTTGGGTTTACTTGCTATACTTCTAGGTTGAGTTAGGCTAGGTTGGTTGTTGGCTAAGTTGGGTTTATTCTTTTTTAGTCGGGATTTGATGATAATACTTGATTTAACTATTTTGTTTGAGAGTCTCTCAATTCTTTATGCATATTTGCTTTTAGTGTAGCGCCCGGAAAGGAGGAGGAAAAAAAAAAAAAAAAAAGGGGGGGCCACGTCAGCAGCCACGTCAGCAGGCCCGGTCAGCAGTCCCGGCCAACCGGGGCCTGCCACGTGGCAAGATCGCGTCACTCCGAAAGGAGCCACGTTGGCGATCCGCGTGGGTGCGATCCGACGGCCCAGATCAATCACGCGATCGGACGGCCCAGATTCAAACGCACGGACGACCCAGATTCAATCAAAAACGAACGGCCCAGATTAAAACGAAACGAACGGCTGTGATCAAAAGGCAAGGGGTTATAAATAGAACCCCCACACCAGACCAAAAACCCTAGCCGCCAGCCGCTCGCCGGAGAAGACGAACCAGAGGCCGACCGCCGCCACCCGCCGCCACTCGCCGCCGCACCGGGGAAATTTCCGACCGCCGATCGAGGTAAATTTCATACCCCCGACTCGTTTTTCCCCACTGATTCCTCCTATGGCCAAATCGAAGCCGAAATCCCGGCCAAACGGCCGGAATACGCGGCCGAAGCCCAGCGGCGCCGCCGCGCCCC